CTCTATGATGTTCCTATAAAAGCTTTTCAAAAAGCAGTGCAGCACGCTATATTTTGACATAAGTAGTAGCATATGAGATCGAACAGTCCCACAGCGTTCGATATATCCCCTCAGGAAATCTTTTTGTCGCTACCATTCATATGTATATTTGTTTTTCTAGCTGAAAGTAATGGTCTTGAATGTTGTTCATATGCTTTTATTGTTGATAATTCAGATGATAAAATCCTTCGTTGTTTAAATCCAGAATTCTGTGAAAGAAACTTGCAGGTAGATGAGACAAACTTTTATTTCTAGTTTACATCTAACAAGAGATTAAATACGTACTAATTAATAATTGATTTAAGAATTATGTCTGTTATTTTATTTTAATTCGAAAGATTTACGAGAACAAAATTTAGTCCGTAGAGTACAATTGTAGTGATTTTTGTTTGTGTCGTTGGTCTTCAATAAATTTAAATCCAGTTATTAACAATATACTTGCCAAAACGAGCGTTGAACCAAATAATGATAAAAGATTTGATTTTACTGATGAAAAAATATTTTGTAATAGAATAGAGATTAAAATACTACTAGATTGAAGTATTGTGAATATCGCTGGATGTTCACATTTAATTCCTTTCTGTACTAACACAAATCCAGGTATTTGTAATAAACAAAATGATGAAGCAACTAAATATCTCCAATTGAAAAAGTCATTTTTAAATGATTCCATTGTATCAATAAAAAAATTATATTTATAAAAGACATTAGCAATTAACATCCATAATGTTACAAATGAATATAGGAACATTATTAAACTTTGTTTTGTTTTATATTTCTCTAGTAAATATTTGTTTGATATTATCATTATAGAAAATACTATTGCAGAATACAATGCAAAACAGACACCTATTATACGTTGATAATAATCATTTGATATATTATTTTCATTTATATTTGATATTTTACTAAATAAGAAACTTGGTTGAGCAACAAATATTACACCAATAGTTGTTAATAAAATTGATATTATCATTGATATAGATGGTTTTTCATGATAAAGAATTGAAGTTATAATTGCTGTCCAAATGATTTGTGTAAAACGTATTGTTGTTAAGTCTGGCAATGTTAAATAACGAAAAGCAAGAAAAAAAACAAAACCACCACTGACGGAGAAAAAAACATTGATGAATAAGAAAAATATTTCTTGTTTACTTGATTGTTTATATAATGAATAATGTTTTATAAATTTCATATAGATAATCAATATGATACTATGCACTAGACTACACGGAATTAGTGCATCAAGTACATCTACCTTTAATTCTTTCGTTATGAATGTTGAAGTTACAAAAATACATGTTGATAGTAATACATAAAATATTCCTAAGAAATGTGTTGCTAGTGTTGGAGATATCTCAAGAGGTTTATCGATAGTTAGTGCAACAGTTGGTTCTATTAATAGATCAGTAGATTGTTCGTTGTTATTATCATCTTTCATTTCAATTTTAAATTGATTTTCCATTGTGTTCGATTTAAACGTTGAACTAAAAATAATATTTGATAAGATTAGTACAGTCACATATCATTATGTGAGGGTATAATCTGTCATAGTTTTATATGAGGCTTACTCTAGTTATAAGTTGATACGGAATTTTATGTTAAGTACTAGAAAATTTGTTTTCATTTCTTTTTTTTTTAAATAAATTTTCATGACCTTGGTGGTTTCTTTATTAATGTGTTAATGACAACTATAGTTATATGATCGAATGTTTTCGAAAAACAAGTCCTTCAAAACAAGCTGTAGAATTTTATGGTTCTCTCATCGTCGAAAGCAAATATTATATGTACTTCTGCTTATGGGTAATTTTCTAGAATATATTAACATAAGACAGTTTTGTTACCTTTCTTTATCCATTGATGATATTGGCCTAGCAAAGACTTGAGAAAAAAAAAGTAATGATTGTTTCACCTTTTCTTAGGTCAAATGAACCCCGCCAGCTATTATAATATTACAGTTGTTTTTTCTTTTTTCCTTCCTATAACATAAAAACGAGACACATTCAATGTCACGCTGTTGATTATTCATTCTTATTATCTTAAATTATTGATTATTATTACTGATTATTTATATAAATATAAGAATAAAATGGAGTCATTAAAAAAACTTGCACAATTGCATGTAAATATGTGAAACATTTTTCTGATTCGTCAAGAAATTAACAGTATCCCTGATCAAAATAAACGTAACATACTTTTGTGTTCATTACTCATACAAGGGTAGTAAGAGCTCATACTTATATCACATTATGTAGGATACTCTGATATTATTGTAACAGAAATTCGGACGTATGTCAATTTGACTCAGACTTTCTTGTTGTTTTTTAAATCCTAAATGATGTTAGTACACATTAAGGTGTATTCATTTTGACACAAAAGATGGAGGACATGTTGATTAAATTAGTCACAGAAAAAAATATTCATCACTGTGTGCTGCTAGCATGTTGCCTAGCATTATTTTCTGTTCTATGATTTTATTCGTCTCTTTTACCGTAACACTTAGCATAAGAGAACACAAGGATTCATATACTATAATGAGTGTATTTCAAAGTGTACTAGCATCATTCAGAGATTTAAAAACAACAAGAAAACTTTAGTTCCATGAACATGAAATCAAATTTCTGTGACAACAAAATTGAAGCATTATATCTAAAGAACTTTAATTAACTATCAAATCATTAAAATCGTTGATGAAACTAAAGTAGTAGAAAAGATATTTCCATGAGATACATGCGATATTATAATCAGCTTTAATTTCTCTTGTGTGAAGAATGGATAGAAAGAAAAAAATGCACCATTCATTTTGATTAAGTAGATTTATTCACATATATGATAATGTGTTTATTGTTTTCAAACAAAATATATATAAACAAAACAAAACATTAAAAAATTTTGTTAGCGACAGTATGATACAATGATACATACTATTAGTTGTATTTCAGAATCACATTAAAAATAAATAACAAGAAAACTAAATAAAAGCAAAAGAAATAATCTTTACATATACAATACAATTCAATATAGAAATGAAATACAACTATAAGAAAATTATATATTTAATTTTTTTTCTTAAATATATAATCGTCATTATCAATTTTAATAACTAATAAAGATTTCTATCAAATGTATTCGATATTTGAATTTCATAGATGAACTATGAAAGTAGGATTTCTGAAGAATTGATAACAAAATACTTGTTTTTATCTTGCAGAAGACTTTCGATGAGTTATTTTTTAATAATACTCATTTAAGAA